ATCTATCTATCTATCTATCTATCTATCTATCTATCTATCTTACTCTCTAATTCATATTATCACAATCTCTATTCCGTCTTTTCTCTCTCTCTCTCTCTCTCTGTCTGTTTCCATCTATTTACTTCACTCTCTCTCTCTCTTGCATTTTCCTTTACTCGATAACTATATTACACACTTTCTTTTTTTCCTTATTTTTTTCTTTCTCTGTCTGTCTGTTTGTCTATCTCTCTTTATTTCTAACATTGTCTTCTTTTTTCACATACCATTTTCATTCTCATTTCTGTTTATCGTTTCCCATTATTAGCATTAACGTAAATAATCCTAGGAAGATTGTATTGCGCCTGTATTTCGCACAAAAAAACGTTTATTAGCCTTAAAAATCAGCATCATCCCAATACTTACATTCACCTTATTGAGCATGGGTCAGACACATGCACCATTTCGTATAATTCTCAACATGGAGGTAGTGTCGTTTGCATTTTTCTTTCCCTAATTGTATATCTGTCATAAACTATAGAAAGGTTCTTCGATCTACACATTCGACTCGGAGGAGTTTCTTCTTTCTCTCATCTTCTCTTTATATATATATATATATATATATATATATATATATATATATATATATATATATATATATATATATATATATATATATATATATATATATATATATATAATATGAAAAATTATTTAACTCTTTTAAATATCAATTATCAATTTTATCCCGACTTCGAAGTTTCTTGGTAAAATTTCCAGTCTTCAGGGTTCTAGTTTTAAACGGCATTTCCATTTATATCAGCCTCGAGAAAGCTTACGTATATCTCCCCTCGTCCTTTTTTTATTGCATTCTATTTGATCGGAACACTATTTTTGTCGCTCAAATGTTAACAGTTTATTCTTACAGATCAGTTACTATCTTTGCCTCTATATTTGCGGCCTTGTGCCAAACTACTACTATTTCTTCTTCTTCTTCTTCTTCTTCTTCTTCTTCTTCTTCTTCTTCATGACATCCAGTTCTCGTACGATCACTGAAGTTAAGCTATGTCAAGCCTGGTCTGTGCCTAGATGGGTGACGGCTTGGGAATACCAGGTAATGTAAGCTTGGATGTGCAAGTGGCGTAAGCAATAACGGCTTGAAATTAGAAAGTTGAGTTTCAATTCCAGTCGGGTTCGTTCTTGTTAATTACTTGCAAGTACCTTGGAGAAGGTATGAATCGACCTCTTTTAGCCCACAGCTATGGGTTAATTATAAGGACTTGTATCAATAAATCATTATTATTTCCAAAACATGGTCGGCTGATCATGGCTCTCCATAGCAACCTCTTTTTTGTTGCCCTAAGCAATGTTTAGTCCTTTACTATCTCCCTTAGTTCCCGCTATGTCTTCCATTTACTCAAGCTCGCTAGCTGGGTTATGCGTTGTTTTTCTATGTCCCTTTTGCTTTCAATCTGTCCTGTGAGTACCAAATTTTCCAAGCCTTCTTTTCTCGTTATGCTTCCAAGAAATTTCTTTTTCTGGATGTATAAGTGTTCAGAAGTGCGCTTCGATATGTTACCTAGATTTTTTTTAAAAATTTAAGTGCAGTACTAGACTGGTGTCGAGATCTCATCAATTCACGTTAATCTGACTAGAAGTAGCACTTCTCGCTTGTGGAATCCCCCCCACATCTCTATGGTTTCCAGCCAACATTAATCACCAAAAATTTGTCAATCGCTATCTACTATCCCTCTATTTACTCTTTTCTCTTCTTGCTCATTATTAATGTTTCTGTTCCTAATCGAGTAGCCCACAAGATCTTAGTGGCTTTCATCATCATCTCATCATCGTGCGGCCTCAGCCGGGATTGAACTCACTCCACCTTCCCAGTATTCCTTATCCGTCATAGCTAATACTTTGATTGGTGTAGTTTGTAATCTTGTCAAATAGCTGAATTCTTGATGCTTCGCTAGGGCTATCAAGGGTGTTTTTATCGTGACACCATCAGTAAATGGATTGCTAACCAAGGCTCAGAGAGACTCCATTCACCCTCCGCGGGTTTTGAATTCAGAGTTTTCCTTCTCCTAGACCAGTTGCCATCCAAGGCTATAGAACCCAGTCTGTCCTGCTATTTACCCCTAGATGGAGGGAGAAGAAGAGGATTCACAACTTTCCAAAGGGTGTTAGCACGTAAGTGAATGTAATGGATTCGACTGGAATTCGAACTCGGCTCTCCGATTCCTCAATCCAAGCCGCTATCCATTACTCCATTGTGCCTCCTCTTTAGTGGCTTTACTGCCTAGCATGGGGTGAAATCGTTTAAAAAAAAAAAGGTGTCCCTTTCGTCTACGCTTACCGTAAAACGTCCTGTGTTAATTCGAGTCTTTTTTTTAGTTAAGTCTCAGTCAATTACGTCGGATTTCAATTTTTCATTAATCCTCACTGGGTGCTCCATATATTTGGACTTGTTTCAAAACCAAGCTTTCTAAATACCTACCTTTGAGTTTCAAAAAGACGGGCGAGG